TCTGCGCGGGGGGGGGGACGTCGCGGGGGGGACGTCGCGGCGAGCGATGAACTGGAAGTTGATCTGTCAGCACTATCGTTATCTTCAGGGCAGATGTTTTTATTTTAGTCGGCTTATAATTCCTTACTAAATGTTGTATTTCATCTCGATCTAATTGGTCTTTGATATGATTTAAATCAAATTCCTCCTCATTATAAATATCACGAATACAAATCAAATAGTTTTCTGGTTGCAATTTTCTAATTTCGACTATGCCTAATGTATGCTTTACGCATGCGCGCGTTGAAAGAAATGTTTAATAAAGTAAACAAATAAATATTAAGCTTCTTTTTTTTGTAAATTTTGATACCCTTTAGATCATAATTGCTCATTATTTTATAAATTACAGTTTCATATTTTTAATTTTATGATTTCTGCATGCGATCTTACCAGATTTAAACTGATGATCTATAATGCGGAAAAATCGATAATCCGGAATCGCCAAAGTCCCGACGAGTCCGGATTAAAGACTTTTGACTGTATTAGATTAATATGCCCTAGAGAGGAAGAAACAAAAGCAAATTTAATACTTTTTCCCCAGATCTAATACTTTTTTTCTTACTTTTAGAATGAAACAGTTTTGTTTGGTGGTCATCTTGCTCACAACCTAACAAAACTACTTTTTTTAATTTATTTATTAGGTGCTATGCCATTTGGCTCTACATGGAAGGAGAGTGATGCCCAGTGGAGGACATTTTAATGAAGACTGGTTTGTATACACGTTACACATGGAGAAAACCATGAAAGGTCCATGCTGCCAGCTCGGTAGCAGGCATTGAACCCCAAACCAAACTACCAGTGTTCAGCAGCTTTTATTGCTCAGCCACTGGTGGGCCTAAAAAAACTATATAATTTTTAAATAATTAAACTAATTAATTTTAAATAATTAATTTTTTTAATAATTAAACTTGTCATATAATTTTTTTAACTGGATTTTCATGTTCTCAACAAAGTTCAAAGTAAACATACTTCCATTTTGATATTATCCACTCATACTACAGACATCCTGTAGCCTCTTGATAAGTGTTGTTTTAGTACTTAAGACAAAGTGAATGGAGAATAAAAGATTTGAAGAAATCAATGTTCATCTAAAGCAGAATAATATAGCTGATAAAGTACAGCCAGCATCACTAAAACCAGAAAGTAATAAATATGGTACAAAATCTAAATGGATATAAGCATTGGGAGTAAATAACATTTGGATTGAATAACGTAGTATCTTGAAAATTGATTTTACAGTTGAAAGTTACCACTACTGAAACTAAATTTTTCTTTTTCCCTGAAAGTCATCTATTTTTTCTGTCTCTTCCAAACATTGCCTTAGATCAGTAGTTAATTTAAACCATGATGGATCTCAAAAATTGGGCTTTAAGAACAAAGACAAAACAATCTCCAGTTATCAGGTAATCCATGCCATCACACTTTTCTGAATGTCCATTAAGCTAAAGATTATGGCAGAACCTTAAAAATTGCTCAGAAACACACTAAAGGATTGGCAACTCCCTTTACACTGCTCACCATAGTGTTTTCATTATCATGAGCAAAGGTGACACTATTTCTGGTATATACTTCTAAGTAAAATCTTTGCTTCTCTTGAATTAATCCCAGCAATGACAATAATAATGAACTTATTCAACCTTGATTACTAGTATAGTATGAAACAACAATGGGGTATAATTTTATAGAACAAATATTATGACCTAAACTATTATCAGTAGGTAGCACAAAGAACATCTTGCAACACTTGGATAGTTTCATTTCTCACAGAACTCACCTTATATTTAACAAGATGTAATTTTTTGGGTTATGGCAAAATCAGAAAAGATTGGTTGAAACAAAGAAATCACATGGTCAGCACATATTTAGTCACTCAACAGTCTATTGTATTCCACCAAAAATAATGAGAATAAAAAGCTCTAGACTTATAAGAGTTATAATTTTTTACAAAAAATAATTTGTAAAAAAAAATTATACCATTTTCAAAATAAATTTTAACTTCGTGTATTCCCGTGTAAACACGGGAATACACAACATTTTTATTTTAACTTTGTATTCGTGTATTATAAGTTTACTAGATTGCATGTATTACCTACGGTTATCATTACCTCCACAGTGATTTAATAATCACAACTGCACATGATCTTCAAAAATTTTGAAGCATATAAACATAGCCACTCTCCATTATAATTTTGTATTTTTGAAGAACTTTTTGTGTCTTTAACAACAACATGGTTAATATCACAATGGTTTTCAATATGAATGCATGCAAGAATAATATACCTGTGTTTGTGGCTTTACAAGCTATGTATTAAAGTCTGATGCAGCTCGCATAAAAGATACAGTCAAAAGTCGTTAATTCGGACACCCATAATCCGGACTTCAAACCTACAAACTTTCTGCGCATGCGTTGTGTTGACGCATGCGAGTAAGACCTTTACGGCTGCAAATTTGCATGTGCGCGTGCGCAAAATATATTTACGAATGCGTGTTTAACGTATAACGGACTGTATAAGCTAAGCTCTAATTATCTATTTCAGTTAATGTTGCAGATTGCGTTGTTCCTTAATCTTCGAATTGGATCCGGCTTATTATTTTTTGCAGACTGTTAGAGCAATTTTATAAAAGTAAACTTGAACTTTCGATTATGTCAAATAGAATTTCCGATTTATATTTACTAATATGTAACAGATCTACAAAGCGAAAGTATGTTTCGGAGTCCATTAAACAAAAAGTGTAATTGCTGCAAAAAATGGATAAAAGCATATCCTTTGTTTATCTTTAACACCGCGGCGGCGGCACAATGAATTGGAAGTTGATCTGTCAGCACTATCCTTATCTTCATGGCAGATGTTTTTATTTTATTTGGCTTATAATTGCTTACTAAATGTAGTATTTCATTTCGATATACTCCGTCTTTGATATGATTTAAATCAAATGCCTCGTAATTATAATTCGCTTCCGATAGCGAAGAAAGTAACAGAGGTTATTGAAAACGAAAAAATTTCGATTGACAAATTAGTCGGTATTCTCGACACAGCAATTATAGGACTTGAACAGCGGAACTTTGTAACTGAACAAGAAATTATGTATGTTTATAGAATTAAAGAGAATGTATTATCACATAAAAAACGAAGCAACTTAAACAACTTACATTGAAAGAAATGTTTAATAAAGTAAGCAAATAAATATTAAACTTTTTTTTTTTTTTTGTAAATTTTGATACACTTTAGATCATAATTGTTCTTTATTTCGTAAATTACGATTTCATATTTTTAATTTTATAATTTCTTCATGCCATTTTACCAGATTTAAACTGATGATCTATAATCCGGAATCGCCGAAGTCCCGACGAGTCCGGATTAACGACTTTTGACTGTATATGTAACATCAACATATGGGACTGAGCCAAATTAATATAGTGACTGTCACATTAGTGCAACCACTGGACTTGATATGACATGAACATGAATTCAGCCAAACATGAATAACATGAATTCAGCCAAAGCATAAGCTATGTATGATTTTTCACTTTTGTTCACATGCCTATACAGTACGGTCTTTAATCCGGACCTCAAAGCTACAAACTTTCTGGTATATGCGTAGCGTTTACGCATGCGCATAATACCTTTACATATGTGTGTTTAATGTATAACAGACGGTATAAGCTAGGCTAAAATTATCTAATTATCTATTTCAGTTAATGTTGCAGATTGTGTTGTTCCTTAATCTTCTAATTGGATCTGGCTTATTATTTTTTGCAGACTGTTAGAGCAATTTTATAAAAAGTAAGCTTGAACTTTTGATTATGTCAAAAAGAGTTTCCGATTCTGGAGCTGCCTAAAGATCTACAAAGCGAAAGCATGTTTTGATGTCCATCAAACAAAAAGTGAAATTGCTGCAAAAAAATGGATAAAGGCATAAAGAAAGTGACAGAGAGGTTAGTGAAAATGAAAAAATTTCGATTGACAAGTTAGTCGGTATTCTCGGAACAGAAATTACACAGACTTGAACAGCGGAACTTTGTAACTGAACAAGAAATTATGTCTGTTTATAGAATTAAAGAGAAAGTATTAGCACATAAAATGTAGCAACTTAAACAACTTACATTGAAAGAAATGTTTAATAAAGTAAGCAAATAAATATTAAACTTTTTTTTTTTTTTGTAAATTTTGATACCCTTCAGATCATAATTTCTCTTTATTTCATAAATTACAGTTTCATATTTTTAATTTTATAATTTCTGCATGCCATTATACCATTATAAATTGACGATCTATAATCCGGAAAAACCCCTAATCTGGAATCGCCGAAGTCCCGATGAGTCCGGATTAAAGACTTTGTACTGTAGCAGTTACATTATTCAAACTTGTCGCCCTCTTCTACAGAATTTTTTTACACTTCTGTAACAGAGGGTAAAAATCAGTAACAGTTACTGAAGCATCTCTTCATATAAATTTGCATGTAGATGTGAAATATAGTCTGTGTATTCTTTCCCCACAAAAATCTGAAATAAAAAAAAATTTTATTTTAATACTCTGGCATTGGAAATAAATTTATTCAAATCTCCCCAAAATCAGTATCTATTCACATCTACTCACAAACTAATAATCAACACAGAAGTGATCAAAAATTAATCTAAATTAAATAGTCACTTCAATGTTGATTTCAGTACAAATTAGCATTTAATTTGAATAATTATAAAGTGCACTTATATTGAAGTCATCATTCATATGAACATCAAATGGTGCTTGTTTCATGCCAAAACTAGAAATATTACCTTTGATAATCATTATATAAAATTGTATTAACTCTTTCATGTTTGACAGAAAATAATCTCGACTTTATTTTAAAAGTTATTACTGCTAATTTATTAAAAATATATCATTGTAATACCAAGAAAAATACAAATAACGATAAAATTTCTTCGAAGTTTAAAACTTCAAAGGAATACATTAACTTACTGGCCTCCAATATCTTTGCTCATAGTTCCCAGAATTTCACATGGGACACCAAATACTGAAAAGATTGTACTACTGTTAGAAGCATTTCCTCCTCTTTGCCATTTATGTGAAATACATCTAAAAGAATGAATTAAATTTCAGTATTCAGAATTAAATTGAACAAGTGGGATATGACAAGTGGGGGAGTTATAACATGCAATAATGCTACAACAAAAGTATAAAAATATTCTTCAAATTGTTATTACAATATAAATTCATCCTACATGATTACATGTAGTCTATGCTTATTTAAAGCATTCAGTAAATTCTAATGCAGATTTATGGTAGTTATCTCTAAAGCAGCTTTACAGAAAATATCAGGTTTTAAGAAGTGTTAAAAATTACACAAGTTATAAATTTCTTAAAAAATTTGAAATTTTACATAAATTGTATAAAATTTTCCTACTCATACCTGCAAATAAATAGCAATGAAAAAATCAAATTATAAATAAAAATGCAGCAAAGCTAATACTTGAAATATTTAAACCTTTGAGAAATTAGGCCTAATTTTAAGTCTGATGACATAAAATCTTTGAATTTCCACATGAACAGATTTTCAGAGATTCTAACTTTTACCATACTATATATTATTTATTTTCGGAGCTATTTTATGCTCTTATTATAATAACATTCTTCTTCTGGAAGTTAATTAATTATATGTACCTTCAATATTTCTCAGAATGTTTAAGCTACTAGCAGGGTCTGCACTAAGAATTTTGCCACCTGGTGCAATCTTTATGGGTTGTTGCTGCACTTATGGTAAGTAAATTACCTCAGTTAATACTTTGTTTGAAAAAGAGTCGCAAAACAGATTGTGATTAGAACAGTAGTTTTAAAATGTTTTGAAAGGAATGAGTTTGTAATGAAATGGTTTGTTGCAAATAATTGAAATAAAATGCTTATGTCTAAAAAGAAACTTCTTGTCTGTCAATTTCAAGCAAGCAATCTCATTTATCTGATTTAAAGAGCATCTTTAGTCTAAAATAACCAACATGTGTCCTAAATTCTGTTGCCTGGCACCTCTCTAATTTCTAAATTTCCTTTCCTATTCCTAAAATTTGCTGCTTGTTCTCTGTAACCTAAAAATTTGCTTCCCCGTGTGAAAGCACAAGTTGCATTGGCTTTGGCACTGGCGATTTGATTACTGAAAAAATATTACAGTCAAACCCCATTTAACAAACTTCAAGGGTAAGTTTGGTTTGTTATATCCATTTTGATAAGGAAAAAAGATTATCTCATAAAAAGTGTAAAAATGTAATGATGAATAAAGAATAAAAACTCATTAACTCCATCCCATCTATCAAAAGATGTGAATAATAAGTTTAATATTAAAAAAATCATACTGAGATTTACCTACAATTATTATCATGTGCAGTTATTAGTTTTCAGTTTCTGCAAACTGTCTAGCAAATTCATTTGCCTTTAACTCAGATATTGTCAGATTATGGCTTCTTTGAACAGTGATAAATTTCAGAAACGCTTCAACATCTCTATGCTTCACCTTCCTGAACTTGCTATTCCATACAGTATTCAAATTTTCAGAAATTATACAGTTTTGACTTTTTCATATGGTTCCAGTTAAGCTTCAATAAACTGCATTTCTAGAAAAGGTTGCACCAGCTTTGTAGTTTCTGAACAATGCTCTCCTTAGATTTAATGCAGAAGTTTTATGTTTACTACTCACCATGAACATTCATTTTTGACTCGGAAACAAAATTTAGACAGAGTGGTCACAGAATATGTGAGACTTTTGCTCTTGAGGAAAATATGAAAAAGAAAGATAATTCCATTCCCTACACGTCTTGTCCAATGTTCATAGAGACCACAATCACTTCTCCAAAGATATGTATGGTTATGATACAAAGATTTATTAATGGTTATAAAATAGATCCTTTGTCTAGCAAAAAACCCCTTAAGCCTGCAAAACTCCTATTCGGATAATGGAAGTTTAAGAACATTTATACTCAAACAAAACAAATCAATAAAATTTTTTAATTTTCATTTCTTAAAGAAGAATCAACTGAAGAACTGCAAACATTTCTCTTTTCTACAATAGACAATTTTTTAATATTAAAATACTTTGTTCTGATGCTTGTCAAAGTTTTTACTTAGCACTTGAACTGAAAAATATGGCATTAAAATCAATCAAGAAACATTCTTAAAGCTTAAGTTACATCCTTTTTCTTACTTTTTTTATGTTGTGAGCCAATATGAAAATAAAATTAAATCTTCTAATTACATTTTTGTACCAATAATAAACCATGAGTTACAACAGCATATATGAAGTTTTTTCTATCACCATTCATAACTTATCATTGACATAAAAAGTGGGATAAACATGACAAGTTAATTTAAACATATTTCACACAGAAAAAGAAACCAGAAAATTCTATTCAGAAACACAAGCAAAATGTCACGTTGTCTGGATTTTAACTCTTTAATGACTCACTTATGAATAAGTGTGATATTAAAGGCCAAGGGAAAATCTCAAAAGCTTTTGCAAATTTGATATTTCTATAACCGAACTGAATGAAGCAGGACTATACAGTCAAAAATTAATCACACTGATTACCTCTGGTCACTGTCCTCTAATGGATATGACTTACACACCATAACGATGTCTAAACAACACAGACCAACACACAACACTTTTTTTGAAGGCTTTTCCATCTTAAAATTATATAGCAATTTTTCACGACTTTCACCTTTTTTTGTATCAATCAACTTTGTTTAATACTTAAGGGATATTTGTTAATATTAGCGTACAGTAATGCAGAAATTTATTTCTATTATTTTTTTAATATTTGAAGGGAGGTATTATATACGAAACGTTAATGAATAATAAAACTTGGAACAGTGGCTCGTAATCAACAATGTTGTTTACACACACCATGTGACTGAAAATGCTGAGATAACTCCTTGTCACACGAGACGAGTATTATAAACTTATCAATTTGAAAATGAAAATGAAGAAAAAATAACCATATTATTAATTACTTAAGTAATAAATAATCATTAATAAATCATTTAATTTTATTCGATTTTTACGACGTAATTTCCGTTTTTACAGCGAGCTTCTTACTTCTTTCTTGTCACGAGATGGCGCTAACATTCCAATATTCAGCAATCAATAATGTATGGCAATAATTCTTAACATTCAGAAATTCGTAAAATTATGTATTCTATAACTATATAATGGAAATATTTCATAATTTGAAAACGCGAAATTCTGCATATGCAACACAGGCACTTGATCTAAAATTTAAACTTCTATTAAATTATTTTTAATTAGCTATATTTAATGCTGCTATTTAACTTGATTTAACTGAAACAACTACAGTTATATATTTGAACTGTAAATGAAATTTAGTATATAAAGACTTTTTATGTCGAATTTTTTTATTTTAAGTTATTCATTTATTTTTATTTTGTTTTATTATTTTAATGTGAAATTATTTTATTATAAGTCATGAAATAGCCTTCTGAAAAAATTTTATTAAGACATGAAATGCCAGAACTCTAGAAATTCCTATAGAATTCTATCAGCCTCTATAAAAATTTTTCTTAAGGGAGAATATATTTAAATTAAAAAAAAAAAAATAATAAAATAAATTATCTACTCATTTCATGTAAAGTATAAAAGAAATATCTTTAGCATTTCTCATCATTTTTTCATAGCTTTAAAGCTGAATCTTATTACAACAAAATTCAACAACAGAAAATAAATTTTTGTATTTTAAAAAAGTGTAATATCAAATGTTTTAAAATATTATACAATTATAATGAAATTACAGTAACATATTTTATCGCGGGTAGGTAGAAAAATTAAAAGGTAAAGAAAAGATAAGTAACTTAAATATATGTTCATAAGACACTTCATTATAGTGGCACAACTAGAACTTAAAAAAATTCCCAATGTTTATTTTTGAAAAAAACTTAAGTATAACTTTTTTTTTTTTTTTTTAAATAACCATTGATACCATTGCAGAGGTCTATTAGATTGTTGCTCCAGTTGCTGTTATATGCATAGCCTTCCTCATTGGACCATATTTTCAAAATACAAAGTAAACATTTGTAGTTCATAAATACTTTTTTAATCAACTTTTATTTAGAAAATGCTTCTTTTACAATTAGCAGCAAATTTGCACTTGCATTACAACATATGGAATTTTGTTCTGGAGTTTGAATTTTAGAATAAACTGCAAAAATTCAAAAGGATGGGCTTTTCCTGTTCTTGTTTTGGTTTATCTAGTAATAACAGAAATAAAACTCTGAAGTACTTCTTTCTTAACGAGGAATTCTTCCTCACTGGAATCATAATTTAGTTAATATTTGTAATTTCTATTCTAAAGTTTCAACAGAATACACAGAGTATAACAAAAGTATGCAGCTGTTAAAATCACATTATGATTTCATTGAAAAGTAAAAATTCTTTTTCTTCTCAATTTAATTCCATATGGCAATTTAAAATATAATTATTCTTTACCTGCCTCAACAATCAACTTGACTATCCCCTATAAAATAATATTTCATACAAAAGAATGCTGGTCCTAAAAGTCTGCTGCCCGGGGTGGACTATCACCTCTATCCCCTCTAGTTATGCCACTACTCCATTATAAATACATTAATGATTAATTCAGTAATTTTTATAGTTTTGTGTTAAAGAAGATGATGGTTGCTACATTACAACAAGCATCTGGAAGATATATGATTACATCACACATCTGCTGCACAATGAATCAAAACAACTTTTCTCTACTTTCAGAAATTTTGGATTTCTTTTATCTCTGTTAAATTACACACATGTGTACATGATTTTCAAGCTTTTCAATGAACTTCAAATATTACTTCATCATGACAGATTAAACACATATATTTAAAATTCCTTTCCTTATTCAGAATGATGATTTTGTGCATTTACAGTGGCTTAGTTTTGGGGCACTTGTATTTTTGAAATTTTTTTTGCACAGATCTTGTACAAAATATTAAAACACAGATTTCGTTTTTTTTTTTTTTTTTTTTTTTTTTTTTTTTTTTTTCCTAATACATTTCTTTTCCTCTATTTTAATTTTTGCTTACTGTAAAAAATATATCATCAAAATATTACCTGCAATAAAACAAATTGTTCAAAACATGTCAATCAGTCACACTTCAAAATTTTGTTGAAATATTTCAGTAGATAATGTTTCTTGTTATAACTTTTTGTAAAAATATCACAAGAATTATCATTTGCATTTGGAAATTTTTACTTGCTTAGAAAAATATATTAACAGTTTTGTACCTGATATAAACATGGCAAGACGTTAGAAATTAATCACAAGTTCTGTTAAAAATTTATTAACTCATCTGGTTAGTCTATATTTTATGGTACCCCCTGGATAATCAACAAGTTGTTGTTTCATTTATGGTAACCTGAATAGTTGAATGTTATGAAAATGCTGTAACGATGTGATGGGTTGTAATGCATGATTACGGTGATTTTGACTGAAGGGAAAATATTGGTAAGGGCTTACTTAGGTATGGATGTTGATTAGGAAGTATGTTATTTATTTTGTGCTTCACACTGTAAAATGCTTGCTGGTGGTAGGATTAACCTGAAGTTTCTATTCATTTTAGAACAATTGGGAAAGAAAACATTAATTGATTGGTAAGTAAATGAAGATTTAAATGGCTTTGTTCACTTCTTGGAAAATTACACAGCAAGATTTAAGGATTTTGAAACCGCAACTCACATGAACACTATGGAAGGTATGTGGGGTGTAATAAAAAGGGATTTTTGAAAGAAATGCTACTGACAGTCCGGAGGATTTTTTCATTTTTACTTTTGTGAATTGATGTGGTAACAACAGTATACAGATTGTAGTTTAGATAATTTTAAGTAATTTTTGGATGGTGTTAAGGAATTCTGTGTAGTTCACATATCGGAAAAAAAAAAAAAAAAAAAACAGAAATTTTTAAATAAAGGAAGTCGATATTTCCTTTTTGTACTGAATAGATAAGATAACATGTATTTCCATTATTATGTTATTTCCTTGTTTGATTTAAAATGCAGCTTATTGAGATATATTTTTTGTTTTAACTATGTTTTATTGCATTATATTTTGGATGCCATTTTACTGGAGAAAGCGTTGGATGTAAACAGGAATGGCGCAAAAAGAAAAACACCAAGGGGTACCCTGAAATATAGGTTTACCATTCATATTTTTACAGATGGTAAAAATATTCAAAATATTAAAAAAATCTTTGATGTAAAGTGTTCAAATACCTTTAGTGTAATAAAATGATGGGAATTGCATGGACTGATTAAGAATGCACTGAAGTTTGGAACATATTTTACATAACAACAAGGAAATGCAGAATTATTACATAGAAAAATCAAACAAGACCCGAAGACTAGTACTGTAAAATATTCGGCTGATTTAGAAGAACAGTTTGCAATAAAAATTAACTTTGAAGCTTTTAGAATAATCATTTAGGCCACATGGATACAATGGGAAATCAGCTTTTTCTTGCAAAAAAGAAAACAAGGAATATATACTTGGTGTTTGCAAAATCTATAGTAAGCAAAGTTTATCACATTTTAACAATGTTATAGTATTTGTAAATTAGTCAAAATTTAAAGTATTTAGCTGTAATGGATGAATAGGTGGAAAAATTCGAATTAAGAACTGAATTTAAAAAAAAAATCATTGTCCATTGTCAAGTACGGGTAATGGTTTGGAGATGTTTTGCTGCATTTGGAACAAAAAATTTAGTACTTATCAAAAATAATTTTGGATTTGAGTAAATATATAAATATCCTTAATGAAAACCTGAAAGAATCTGCAAGAAAACTTGGAATGCAAAATGCATTCAAGTTCTATGAGGGTAACAATCCTAAACATAGTCATATATATATACATACTTCTCACTGTATGAAAAGATTTGGAAAAATGAACAAGAAAATATACTTCTTTGAAAGCTCTATTAAAAGCAATTCTTATGTAGGAATGGAAAGATTAAAAATTCTTACAGGAAGAAATTAGTTGAACCTAAGAACAAAGTGCATGAAATGTGTAATTTTAGTTAAATAATCCAAACTTTTTTAATAAATAATTTTTCTACTAAAAACAATTATTTTTTTTAAACAAGTATATTTTAAAATAGATGATCAATAGTATAGGTGAAAGAAAAATAAACTCGTTTTCCTGATATTTAATAAGAGATATTTTAAATATAGATATATAAGATAAAAAAAAATGATTCAAAGATAGATACTGGATATATTTTAAAATGTATATACTATGATAATTGATAAGATAATTTACATGCCTATAAATCTAATTGTCTTATAATTTCTTCAAAAGAAGAATTTCCATAATTTACAATAAAAATGAATTTTTTACTAATAAACATTGCAGTATGCACATTATCCTATCCAGATAAAAAAAAAAAAAAAAAAAAAAAAAATACCCACCACTAGAATTCTTTTTCAATTATATTAATCACTGTAATTAGTCATACAATATATTTCAAATAAGGACTCATTACTTCCCCCACTGGGATACCTGAGGTTACAGGAAAGAAATATTCAAAGTAGCTGATGCCTATGTGATAGCCGAGTATCTGAGTAGATGTATTCATTTTCTTCTTCCCCCCCCCTCTCCAGAAGACTAATAAAATATGACTTAACTAGATTGTTTGTAAAGTTTTATGTCAATCCATAGCAAAAAAAAAAAAAAAATAATAATAATAATAAAATAAATAAATAAATAAATAATATAATAATAATTTAAAGCAAATATTTAGTGTACCTTATAGAAAAAAAATAGTTTATAAATATGGAATTTTATGTTTCCATATGGAAAAAAAATGTTCTTTGATACTGAACAAAAGCTGTTCTGCTAATTAAAATTGCAAAATTAGTTTTGCAATCTTTGCTCCAGAAAAATCATAGTAATATTGATAATTTTGTACATCACTTTTATCATTTCATTTATGTATACTTTCCATAAGCTGCACTGTTAGATACAGAACCAGAAAGTCCTACAGTATTAGAGGGTTAGCCATATTTTCATACAACATGAAGAGCAACTTCAGGGAACAAAATTCAAATACAAAAAGAAATTGTATTATTTCAAAGATTTTTAGAAGATTTTAGAAAATTGTGTAAGAAAAAAAAATTCAGTCTATATACTCAGTAGTAAGTTTAGCACCTGCTGTGCACACATAGAACTTCAATACAATATCGCTTAAAATTTTTATTTTTTCTGCCAAAAACTATGAATTATTCCAATAAAAATATGCTTTGATCTTGCTGATTTTCTAAAATTAATTTTTGCATTACATTATTTTTTTCCTTCATAGTTTTCAATTTTAATTCACATACATGTAGTGATTCTTGCAGCAGTTCCACATGACTAGGTAAAGTGGAAAGCTTGCATGGAACTAATTTTGTCTCTGATACTGACTTTTTCAAGTTTGAAAAATTGTTCGCCTTCTCTTTTTCAGCCAATACTACATTTTTACTGCTAGAATAAACAAATCTTGTATCAATAGCACTGCAAACGTCAGCCAATATCTCAAGAGAATTTATAGCTGTATTATTTTCACTATTAACTATTTCATTTGAAAGTTTCAATTTCTTAATCTGTCTTTTCTGAGTTTGAAAATTTAATTCCACACACTTAGAATAATCCTCAAACACTGTTGGAACAGAATCTTTTTTCAGTACTCGTATTTTGCATCCTTCTTTGTACGAGCTTTTTTCAAAATGCCTACTACAGACAACAGATCTGTCAGCAGGTCTCCATAAATCACCAGAGGAATCTAAAATTGAAAATGAATAATGTAAATCAATAACAGACTTAAAGCAAAAGAAATTATTCTAACCTTTCAAAAATTCTGGAACCTTCTTAAAATTCATGCAAAAGAAAAGAACTACATTAAATAGTATCTTTATTGAGATATTATGAAGGTTATGCTATTACTATTAAGAAAAATTTTAAATAAGTTTAATTAAAAAAACACGAATTCAGTTTTTAAAAATATGCAAACATTTATTAAGAAACATGAAATTTTATAATTAACATAATGCTTAAAAGCTTCAAGGGTTTAATCCTAGTATCCTGTGCACACGGGATTTGACTACTTTTGGCGACTTTATGATGAGCAGTAAAAAAGGGACATATACGATGAGTAGTTAACGGGTCATTCAAGAAAATATGTAGTTAAACATAGTATATACTATGTATATAATATATATACTATGTGTGTATAATATATATATAGACGTTCTTTGGATCATTTTTGGTGTTGGTGATATAATTTTCAAAGTCGCGCCAAGGCTGCACCGTATACTAGGATTTTACCGCTTCAAGTTCATTTTCTCAATGTAATTTTACACAGAATATTTGAAAAAACATAAAAATTTTTAAACCTTTCAGAATCTTCCTAAATCAAAACAAACACAGAGGGTAAAGAATTATTTCAAGAATTAACATATTACATAAAAATTAAGAGTGTGACTCTTGATATTACAATAGACGTCTTTTAAAATTATAATAATTGCAATTCTTTTTTTAAAAGAGACATTCTGCTCGGTATCAATAAAACTTATCTTTCCAAAATGTTAAAATGCATAATGATTTTTTAAGTTAGGATTCAAAATACAAAAAGAGAACAAAAATTCGACTTTTGAGTTCTCAAAACATTTTCAAAATTTGTGTTATTTTAGGATTCAAATGTCCCATCTCTAAATGTAACACAATGTAATACAAAATACCCACATATTTAATTTAAAAGTTAACACAACATAATACATAAAAGTACAAACATTAAATTAAAAAAGTTGATGAAGCTTTCATAAACATTAATTAATAGCTTACATTTATGAAAGCAACAGATTAAGAAACAGTAAAAAAAACATTTGAAATGTCTGCATCTTTTATTTAAAAAAAAAAAAAAAAAAGAGTTAATTATTTTCTTACACTTTAGGTTTTTTATTCTACATTGCACTGTCTTAATATATCTAAAAAGTACTTCGCTATCAGTTTTATTAATTAAATACGTCAAAAAAACAAGCAAACCTTAAAAAAATACATATATACCATTCTTTTCTCAATAAATGATAATATTCACCTATTTTTTAAATGATAATATATACTGAATTCAACGTTAATACATTATTTTTCACATAATATCAATTCACCTTTCCTAGATATATTTTTTATCCATTTTTCTCGAAGTGTTTCTTCACATGGAAATTCATGAAAAGTCACATGTTTGGTTTTTCCTTGCTTTGAAGTACAATATGGTACACAACAATAAACCATTTTCATATCAATATACAAATTCGTATCTTTGCAGCGGGCGACGAAGAGTGGGGTTGAAGCGTCCCCTAGCGACAAATCTTTGTGAAATTTGACAGACAGACCAACGCCAACTTCTTGGACAAGACAAAATAGACAGATGTCTTGTTTTGCACCCGCTAAGTCTTTCTGCTTCGATGGGCGAAAAATCAAGCTTAGGTGCGAAGGAAAGGTATATAGAAAGGGGGCGGGGCAATTGAAGTAGACAAACTCCCTACGCACAAGGGAGGACACAATGAGAAATAATAACAATAAAACAGTTTTAAATTGACTTAACAGGTAGGACGGATAGCACTCGTGTGCTTTGCGATATTCAGATAACCACTCGTTGCTTGAATGGGCATAAATATCGGCATTGATACTTATAATTCCTAATTTCATTCAGGAAAAGAAGTGCGGAAAATATTAACCGGTGCTGGCACATTAACCGCTGCACAAATTATTTTCAAACAAGAGTTTAGTTTTAACCAGAGTTAGAAAATACTTCAGCTTAACTACTTACGTTAGAGACCTTGGTTTTGATAATGAAGCTCAAAATTTATCAACAATTACTAGGTTTTTCAGGTACAGCTTCTTACTAGGCTTTGTTGAATTTGTGCCAAAGAGAGCGACAGACGATGATTTTCTGCTCTGGACAATAATGCTAACATTACAGGACAGGAATATATAAACTTTTTTTTAACATATTGGTGCTCTATTGAGCTTAGCACGAAGAGTTCGCTTTTGTAGATTACTCTTTAAAGCTGTAGGCGGTAAAACTGGAGAAGTTTGTATACAGGAAACTCGAGGGGGGAGAGATGAAAGAAGTCGAAATAATGAAGAAAGCAGCGCATTAGTCCTAAAAGACACGAAATAGACAAAGGGACTTTACTCTGAAATTTTTATGCCCTACTGGTACCATGTTTCACAGAAAGTTTGTAAAATGCAATCCTCCAGAATAAAGATATAAGGTTAACTGCATAAGCAGTTTGTTATCACCCCCCCCCCAGAAATAAGTCTTACAATTTATTATGAGGAGAATCAGTGAGATATTGTTCATGACGAGACATGGGGCTTTCAGTCATTTTTCCCATTTAAACGACTAACGAGGAAACTAATGGTCTCGTGCAACCTGAACTCAAGCGCAAGTTGCATGCTTCGCCTGACTTTCAGTATGCCATATTTCACATGCAATTATTTCTGCTTCGGTGATAAAAAAAATTAAATGTTAATTAATTCTTCTGTCTTCTAACATACTGCTCGCCAATAAAATTGCTACGCCAGGGAGGAAATCGAAAGGCAGAATCTTACTTATTGTACACATACAGTAGACATGATTAAATTTTCTGGTCATTTGCAGCACACAGGTGAGGAATTAAATACACAAAGCTTCCACCTCCGGCAGCAATAAATAGAGGCGGGGTAAACTGCTGGCAAACCTGGTGGTCGCTAGGGGCTCCGTGAGCACACGGTCATCTGGAAATACAAGCTTTACCTAATTAACAAAAGAATATCAATTAAAATTGTTTACTACAATTAGCTCAAAAAATTAGTGTATTCATTACTCTATTTTACTTAAAAGTAACAAATCGTAAAAAATGTGACACTTTAAATTTTATCACGTTCTACCTTCTTATTTTTTCTTGTTCTTAGATATTATGTGTTAAAACACCCCAAAAATGACTACACCTGTAGTTCGAAAGAAATTTTGCGCTTCCATAGAGGGAATCACCTTACAGAAAATGATTGCCATTGATGTGCTCATTTGTTCGTTTTCCAGAAAGTGTTGGTTAGTTTCAAACACTTTCTGCAAGTGGAGCATGTGAAAAGTTTCTAAGCCTTTTGTTTGCTCGACGATCTTTTACTGACACCTATGGATGAACCATTTATGTTCAATGATTTCCTCATTTTCTAACTAAATTTGCCAGCACTATACACAAAAAGTCGTTAATCATTGTTATAAATCAAACAAACCTCTGCCATACGGCTTTTAAATTTTAAACAATGCTTGCTCTCTTCAGTACTCAGATTGACTTCTTCAGTGTAGTTTCAGTTTGCTTTGTTAATGTTCATACGGAAAAAAATTCTAAGCCTCATTTGTTAAATTGGTAAGTAGAAGTATTTATAATAACATTTGAATAATATAATGTTTCTTATAATGTTGTAAGGATTATGTTAAATTTTAACAGTTAAATTTTGAGTTAAATTTCCTTTCCTATCGCTTCTTAATTTCAATTCACAACTTCAGGCCAGAACGTATTTTTAGAATCACTTTTGAATTCAAATTTGAGGAGTAGTATTTAACCGCGACGTTCTACTGTCTTCGTCAGAGAAGACCAGTTATACTGGCTAGCACGTGTCCGCCTTTTTAGGCTACTGTCTTTTAAGCTATTATTACGCTCCGTCGTACTTTAGGCATTGATAGCTTCGCAGTCAATTAGCGTTAAGGGGCTAACTCTGTTAGAAATTTGATAGCTTCGGCTATATCTTTTTTGTTAAGATTAGTTTAGTTTAGTTCTTAGTCTCTTAAGTTCAACGTGTTGAATACCCTTTTTATCGAGGAAGGTCAGGGCAGCACGAGCAATATGCGGATCTGCAGCATCTTGCAGAAAAAATTCGTCACTCAAGTCTTGAAAATAGACAAGAGCACGGACTCTAATACGTCAGAAATGTAGCGGCAGCTGTCCACATTACCAACTATGCCAATAAAACGTGACTAGAAAGTGCGTTTAATGATATTCCAATACCATCATGTCCTTGCCCATACACTAGCATACCCCATACCCTTGGCTGGAGATCCTACGTAATGAAACCCCTTTTCCTCTTAAGGGATATGCAAAATGTTGTTATTTCGTCATATAAAGGTGAATTGTAAAAATGAAGCAACATGTGCTACTTGCTCTTTGCAACATTTAAAAAGTGGGTGTATAAAGAACTCTTTGTTGTACTAATTGTAAGAATTATAATGATAAGTTTAGATCGAATTTTGATCGCTATTGTCTCCAAAGAAATAATTATGGAAGCCATAAACCTCTCTCCTGAGGATGGGGAAAAAAAAAAAAAAAGAAAGAAAGAAACGAAAATTCAGATATCTTTAAAGAAGAAAGTTGCAGTGCTCCGAGCGGGAAGACTTTGTGCTTAATGAAACTTAACCTATTATCGATAACTTAAAACTCCAGTGTGCATCAGTATAGGACGACGTTTCGGTGGCTGTTATAAAATGTTTATTTAATTTATAGCCTAATTTTTTATAACTTTGTTTAATACATGCATGAAATTTAGAGTTTTTCCAGGCATTTGAAAAGTTTTCGAAATGCCTTTATTTCAAAGAAATTTAAATTCAGATTTATATGTGTACTAAAAATCTTTAATATAATTCTTGATAAGCTTCTGCCTAGTAGATTGTTTAATCTTTTGGTAGTTAACAAAAAACTCTTCAGTAGACAGTATGGCTTTATTTAGGGCAGCTAGACCGATGATGCTTTATTTGATGTGGTAAACTTGTGAAACAAAATAAAAGTCACAGTCACATTGTATTGATTTCATTCGATATCAGTAAAAGCTTTTGACAGTGTTCGCAGATTCTCATGGGAACACTGCTTGATCTAAGAAAACCGCTGGAAGTTTTTCAGTTATTAAACGACTTTTTTTCACAATAGAACGATTGCTTTCAGCATCTCATCTGAATCTTGTATGACTTAGCGGATATTTTTAAAGGATGCTTTTAGAAGTCTTATAGTTTACCGCTGTTATGAAATATTATTATAAATAAAATGATAATGTAATCTTCTCCTATGGGCACTGATTGGTACATGCGTATGATCTCATGATCTGCATGTTTGATTCTTCTGTCGAGAAACTAGAGAGAAAACTATGGGAAATTAGTGTTATTTTGCATAGATGATAAGAGGTGGAGGAGATTACTTTTAATTTAGAGAAGAATAATATTCTGTTTTTTCCCGGGCAGGAAAACAGATAAGAAAGTCCGATTGAAAATATGAAAGATCATAAAATAAAACTTGTTTCCCTTTGACTTATTTGCGCTTTATCTTGGACAACAAACAACTTTTCTAGATATTTTAGTTGCATTCAATAAAAGAACAGACAAGAATTTAAAGAAATATAAAAGAAATACTGGTCAGACGTATTTGCTTTGAAAAGTTTTACCCTTGGGAGATTTTATTAAGATGGTGATTAAAACTGCGATACAGACGGTTTGGATGCTGTCCATTACGAGATTATTTAGAACTACATCTATGGGGTAGCCTGCGGGGTAAAGTACGTGAAAGAATACTTTTAAATTGTAAAGAAAGGGAATGACAAGAATTTATAACTCTACACCTTGAGCATTACAGCAGCAAATCTATAACATGAAATGAAATTTTGGTATTTACATGTTATCGCAACCACCTTAGTAGAAGTCGCAAAATTTTCAGAAGGTGCCGAATTCTGGCAAGCATTCTTCAGTCAATCATTTTCATAACAATCTTTCAGTCAAGCAAAGTTAGCATTTTCGTATGCATTTTTTGCTGCATTCCAAGTTCCAACGATTTTTTATAAGTAAATGTTGATGTTTAATCTTGATATTTCTTTGATATTTTTGCGTAATTTTAAAATGTGCACTTGTGGAACTGGCCAGCAATGGAAGAAACTGCGGTAAAAGTTCTGCAGGAATACAGAGTTTTGCTGCAAAAAAATATAAAGGGAACAACTAGGAGATGTGTTTGGTACATTGCTAGTGTACCTAAGGTTTGCATGATGTCATTCTTTGATATGTTTAAAAGCGAAAACAGATCGCTGTGTACTTGAAGACAAGTGGTTTAGTTTTAATATATCTGGTAATTCATATTTAGTAACTAAAATTTGTATTTTAAATGGCTAAAGTATGTTTTCTTTTCATATGTTGATAATAATGATTGCCAACTTACGATAAATGTCAATAGTTTGAGAATGTTTTAAATAAAAAATTCCGGAAAACCACGAAGCTGCACCCGCTAAGCAACTTTTACCTCTTCTTCTCTAAGAAATTGCGAGATTGCTCCAAGGTTGTTGCGAACAAAATTTCGATACTTCTTAAATGTCCTAAGACTATTTGCTT